TATTTACACTCTAATTGCTACTGGTTATACGTACTTAAAAATAATCAGTCGCACAGAATACGGAGCGCGTAAAAGTAACAGATGGTACATTTATTAGATTAAATTAAGTAAATGGGTTAGGTTGTTGTTTATACTGAGACAGATATATGGATGTCTAGGTATACCAATCAATCCACCAATTAATCAAGTGCTTAGTACAACGGTGGGGCTGTAAGGGTGCTTTAGATTTAATTAATGTTGTAACGAAGGTCTCCTTTAGTGTTATTCTTGTCATAATTTGGATCGTGAGAGGTTACTTTGATGAAGGGTAGTAGGTTTCGAGCAAGTTTCAGGAATCATAATAGTTACTATTTTTTGTGAGTTTCAGCAGCCTGTAAAATGAGACAGGCTGCGAAGGAAGCATTTATAGATGCCTTCTTATTCGTAAATTTGGGGCAAATTGCTACGAATTTATCGGTTGTCGAACAAAAAATGGCGTCAAATAGGTTGACTCACTACTCAACGCTGTAATCAGTTCATAGAGGACACAAGTCTGCCCCTCTGCGAAATGTATAACAAGTGAAATAAATGGAGCAAGTGAGTCAATCAGGACTGTACAATTAGTCCACAGTACCCTCACCTTGCGGTTTCAAAATGTATCCCATCTTGCAACATTGCCGAACATCTGGCAACGTTGCTATGACTAACCTCGCATTTCGCCACTCCCCAGCCACTCATCTCCAACGCGAGGATTTAAAATATTTGTCTATCCAGTTTTAACTTCTACAACAATTTTATTTGCAACTCATGAAACGTCAAAAGATGAAGTTTGAACGATTTTTATTCTTTTCGTTTTTTGCTCCGGGATCTTGAGATGGCGTTTGGAAAAGCAGGTCGGTAGGTAGGGTATGCGTGCCTAGATATGCGGTGATGAGACCATATAATCTAGTGAGTGAATAATTTTATGACTATCGATCTCGTATCAGCTGCAAACAGAGCTAGGTCTATGATGGAAGAATTGATTCAAAATTCACATCCTTCTGGGTGGAAAAACATTTCCAGCAGGCAAGAAAACTGATCGTGGGGTCAACTACCAGGGAAGGGGCGTTTCTATCTATCTGTATATATAGGAATAATTTGCGAGTATTGGGTTGATTTTTAAATTAAAGGCGTCATCACATCATTACGGGGTTTGTCAATGAACCTTTCCGCAGGAAATATGGCGACGACAAGGAGTATTCTAAGCACATTTTAGACGACTGTGACGTTTTGGGATATATTAGAGTTCCAGAAGGTTCCGCATAGGTATTACGTATCTTGAAAAGTCACATTACGTCGTTTTTTTTTGACATTGTATTGTCTTTTTGTGACATTATGTATGTTTTTCTACAAGATGTTAACTAGCTGATGGACACATGTTGTGAACTCGTTTTGTTGTACGTGTTGCCTAAACCTCATGATACTTTAGTTATTAATGCTTGGCTCTGATGTGATGTAAAATCTGCTTCAGATATGGCGTTATACTGGGTCTAAGTTGTATACTATAGCTAGAAGGAAACGGCAATGCATATGTGCATAGTGAGGATTTGTGTGCTAATAATATGTGTTGTCCAGTGGATTCTTGTCTAAAATACATTTACTTGAAATTCGAAGCTAGAAATTAGTGGCACGTCCACTGTTTCTTATCCATTCTGGAAATTACATATACAGGGTGGCGCAGAGGAAACGCACGATTTTCACCTAAGCATAACATTTTTTATTTTCAAGATAATTTTGTTTCGGTTACAGCTAAATAAAGTAATGATAGTGCACTTTTAAACTAATGATGGTAAATAACGTCACTCAAGTGTCGCCCTGCTTCACGCTCGCACATCTCCAACCGCTCTTGAAAGTTGTGCATTACACGTAAAATCATTTCTTGTGGTATTCTTGCAATTTATTGACGAATAGCAATTTTCAGTTCCTGTAACGTACGAGGCTTGTGAGGGTACACTTTATCCTTAAGGTAACCCCACAAAAAGAAGTCGCATGCGGGCAAATCTGGGGAGCGTGGGGGCCAAGGGACATCGCCGAAACGGGAAATCACATGTTCAGGAAACATCTGTCGAATCCATTCCATTGATGCTCTCGCTGTGTGAGCTGTGGCACCGTCTTGTTGGAACCACAGCTCTCCCATGTTTACTTGTTGCCGTTGAAGTTCGGGTAACAGAAAATTTTGTAACATGTGAACATAACGTGCTGAAGTAACTGTTACTGCTCTTTCTTTCTCTTCAACAAAGTAAGGACCAACGATACCTAATTTACTGATTCCGCACCACACAGTTAATTTTTGACTATGCAAGGGTCGTTGGTGTAGCTCTCGTGGATTTTCGGCCGCCCAATACCTACAGTTCTGCTTGTTTACATATCCTGTTAAATGGAAGTGTGCTTCGTCACTCATCATTATGACGACGTCAGGATCGTCAGCAAAAATGGCCCGCATTCTCGCACAAAATTCTCTACGCTGTGCAAAATCGCTTTCCGTTAGCTCTTGCACGATCATTATCTTGTACGGATGATATTGTAAATCGTCATGCAGAATGCGTTGTAACGACCGACGGGACATACGCAGAGTTGGAGCTTGGCGCCTAGTGGACCGTTGGGGACTATCAAGGACCGCTCTTCTCACTGTTTCGATATTGCCTGGAGTCCGCACGGTACGGGGAAGGCCAGGTGGCTTCCTCTTCATTACGCATCCAGTACTTCGAAATGCTTCAACCCATCGGAGTATCGTGTTTCGATCTGGAATTGGCCCGTGGCGTTCAACATTGAACTGTCGACGGAATAAACGTTGCACGATCACTACAGAATCATCGTTTCGAAAAAATTGCTCGACGGCAAACACACGATGCTCCGTCATCCACGGTGCCATGGCTGAAACTGCATCGCATGTGTTCTCTGCTGGCGGTGCGGCGAGGTCATATCCCTATTCTGTGCGAAATACCATTCGGTCAGAAAACATGCGTTTCCTCTGCGCCACCCTGTATAAATTTGCTGATTTTCAAAAATGAGAGAGACAAGAAATAATCATTAGGGACTGTATACTGTCGAATTACAAGTCATATAAATGCTAACAGTAATTACACACAACAGAGTGCGGTGGTGATTTCCCGTATTTCTGTCGGGCACAGCCAATAGATGACATACTTCATTGGCAGCATATTCAGTAATGATTTTCTCACACAGCAAATATCACTGATTTTATAAACATGCAAACCAATACACATAGTGATCCAGATGCGATCTTGCTATTCCATCAACTTTATTCTCAGAGATGAAAACTACAGACTACTCGGCTTCACATAACATATGCAACCAACAATATGTGTAATTGAATCATTCCTCTATAGATGGACGCTTACAACGATCCTAGTGAGCAAATGCGTAATGACCCTAAAAACTACCTAGTATGCAAGATTACATTTTATAGGTTTTTTTTCACATTTTATAGGTTTTTTACATAATACCCGTGCGGCACGGGCAGGACTCGGTGTCACTCTGGCAATTCCACAGCTAGCGAAGGGTGGTGGGAGACATTTTTCATTCATTCACTTAAACATTGTTGACTAATCCTCGTTTTCTGTAGTTATGACAGACGACAGTCCCTAGATCCGATCCTGTAGAGCACTGCATCTCTGCGTCTTCCAGAGAGGGCAAGCAGATTATTTTATGCATGATCAAATAAAATGTACTCCTGCTCAGCAGAGATATGCATGAAAAAAGCAGACCAGGCACACACGTATCGCGATGCATCTATCAGGTTTCCCTATTATACGGTTACAAAAATGCCTGACACTGGAAATGTCTGTGAAAAAGGATACGCGTCGTCCCCAAATAAGGCTTCAAACGGCTTCACTAGCTGATATAATGTGCTCCCCTTTTCGCTTTCAGCGGCAAACGTGATACGTTGATGTAATTAGGAAAATATACAGGGTTACTCATCTGTCCTGGCTAGAGGCAGAACTAGGAAAAAAAACTGTGGGACCTTTTAGTTTACAACTTTTGATTTTGTTTGGTTTGTATTATATGATCATTGTTGGTTAGACTTTACTCTATCGTATTTTGAACATACGATTGGGTCCAACATGACACTCTTCTACAAAAACTGTCGCATTACAAGTTCCACAGTAGTAACATTAAGCCCAGGTTATAATATTTGAGCAACAGACAGCAGCTTTGTAAGCTTCCAACAACACTACATCCAGTACGACAGTTTTATGTGGCGTTCCACTGGGTTCTGTGCTTGGTCCACTTTTATTTTTAATATACATAAATGACCTTCCTAATTGTAACATAAACAAAAACCTTATACTGTTTGCGGATGACACAACAATGTTCTGTAGTAGTAAGTCGATTGATCTACTTTCTCTGCGAATGTTGACTATATAGTATTATTAAATCTGTACGTTCAGACTGTATACATCGCACCGACTAGCGGGTCGATGTTGGTGACTTTTATCTAGGTAAAACGGGTCTGAAAAATTATTCGTGTCTACTGAAGACTTAGTGTATTTGTTGGAGCCTGTTTTGCATCATACCAGCGGGTAATAAGTGTATTTTCATTGAATTACGACTTCATTTCCTTATCTAATGTAGTCGTTGGTTCCATTTTCCTAAATCGTTATTTGCTTCGTTGAAAAAGCAGTAAAAACATTGTAGCTGGAATTTAGAAGGAATTTTTGTGACATTTTTGTCTATAGTCCAGGTATTCGTTCGTTTTCTTTTTGTTGTGATACTGAAAAGAAAAGTAAGGTTATGGCAACAAAAACTCGAAAAAATGAAATATCGTGATTCTGCTTGGGAGTTTGATGAAAAGCGATTGGGGGATATTATCAAGGAGTCTTTTCTGAAATACTTAGGACCAGTAGAGCAGAAAATTGAAAGCAAAATCAAAGACCTGAGTGAATCTATTCAATACATGTCAGACTCTTTTGACGATCAAAAGCGGGCATTGGAAAGTGTCTTGTTGGAAAATAAGACACTAAAAAAGGAAACTGCGGACTTGAAGAAGAGACTTCAGATGTTGAAAGGGAGAGAACAAGGACAGGACCAAGAATTTGATAGTAGCAGGAGTGCCAAAACAAACCAATTTAGACATTAAAGGAAGTATAATGAAGATTTTTACAGCTATGCAAATACAAACTACAAACATGGTAATGGAGAGTTTTCGATTGGACAAAAATGGTGAAGGACCTATCTTGTTAAAAATGCAAAGTGAGCAGGCAAAAAGGGATGTCATCAAAAGAATCAAGGATTTAAAGGGTATATCTACAAGGCAATGTAGCTTAGAGGGAAGTGACAGAAAGATTTATTTCATCTGCCGATGTCTAAGAGGGTACTTTTCAAGATGGCAAGGGAACTTAAAAAGCAAAAGGGATATAAGGCAGCTTTTTACCTCAATGGATCTGTTTACATCAAAACAAATGAAAATGAGCAAGCCATAAAAATTAAATGTGAGTCTGATTTGGACAAATTAAGATAGTATAGGTATAGTAAATGTTTTAGGAGATCTATAACAGAACTTGTAAGTAATAATTTTCTCTTTTTTAATGGCTATAAACAGTATTTTTGATGATTATAAGATCTTAGGAACAAACATATGTGATAACTTATGTCAAGTAGACTTCTTTGATAATTCTGTAAGCGACCTTAATTTTATGCATGTAAACATACGTAGTATTTATCAAAATTTTGACCAATTTTTGGTGTATCTTGAATCATTAAGTAAATCTTTCGATGTTATAATTATGTCAGAAACACACTATGTATACAATATAGACGATTTTAACATTCCTGGGTACAAAATATTCTTTAACGAAAGTAGTCTTAATCGATGTGATGGATCAATAATTTTTGTTAAAAATGAATATCATATTACAAATCAAATAATTCAAGAAAATAATTTAAAGATTATTAGTGTCACTTTGCAAAAAAATCATGCAACGGTTGTTCTCCTAGCTACGTATAGGTGTTTTTGTATTTCAAAGGATGAATTCATTGATAGTCTAGGAAGAATATTTCAACGTTCCATCACTGATCGGAACAAGGTTTATGTATTTGCTGGGGACATTAATATTGATCTCTTAGATAGGGAAACAGATACAACAAATAACTATTTGACTTTATTGCAAGGCTATGGGTTAATGAGTGCAATTAATAAATCAACAAGAATTACTGATAACAGTGGGACTTGTTTGGATCACTTTTTTATTAAATGTAAGAGTAATGTTTTTGAAAAGGTTAGGGCTGTGATTTTGAAGAGCGACCTTACAGATCATCACCCCATTCTCCTTAACAAATGAAATTAATACTTTTACAAAAATAGATTATGAAAATATCACACAAAAACTAAACGGAGAGGTGTGGGGTGATGTTCTACAAGAAAATAATGTAGAGCTTTGCACAGAGGCTTTCATTAATAGACTAAAAGACATCATTTTGAAAGCCACTATAACTAGGCCTATACCCAATAAAAAAAAGAAATTAAAACCTTGGATCACTGGTGGGCTCCTAATATCTATTCGAAACAGAAACCTCCTTAAAAGGGAATGTGCACTAAATCCCAGCAATTTCGTAGTTTTAAACAGGTATCAGGAATACAGGAAGTTTTTAAGAAAACTTATCAAGAAAGTGAAGTATAATTATTACAAATATTTAACACAAAAAAATTTGGATAACCCCAGAAAATTGTGGAATGTGCTTAGAGAGGCCACCAATGACCAAGAGAGTAAACCAGAAATAAAATGTATCACTACCAAAACTAATTCAGACATAACTGATAAAAAAGAAGTTGCAGATGAATTTAACAATTATTTTTGTAACATTGGTAAAAAATTAGCAAGTGAAATTACTAGAGGTACTTGGAGGAATGAAGTGCGGGAAAAAAGAGGTAATGAATCACTTTTCTTGTGTCCTGTGACGAATGATGATGTGATTAGGGAGATAAACTGTTTGAAGAATGGGGTAAAATGCGGGGAGGATAATATTTCATCAAATATAATCAAGAAATATAAAGAAAAACTTAGTATTCCATTGAAACACATAATAAACCTAGTTTTTGGTACTGGTATTTTTCCACAAATATTAAAAAAAACCAAAGTGATACCTCTTCACAAACAAGGAGATAAAAAAGACATGAACAACTATAGACCCATTGCATTAACTAGTACAGTAAGTAAAATTATTGAGAAATGTCTGAAAAGAAAATTAATGCAGTTTTTGGAAAAGCATAAATTACTCAACTTAAATCAGTTTGGTTTCAGAGAGAATTCTAACACTGAAGTTGCACTTGTCAGGGTCACTGAGAGTATTCTGAAAGGGCTAGACCAAGGAAAAAAGGTGATGGGTATATTTTTAGATCTAAAAAAGGCATTCGACACAGTGGCACATCCAATTTTACTAGGTCGTTTGGATAATCTGGGAATAAGGGGCATTCCAAATAAACTCATAAAGTCCTATCTTTCTGGACGTGAACAAATCACAAATGTCTCGGGTCAGGAAAGTAACATTTTGAAGGTAGAATGCGGGGTGCCACAAGGTACGGTTCTCTCAACTTTGCTGTTTATAATATACATAAATGATATAATGGAACAATTAAATGATGCAAACATAACTATCTATTGCTTTGCAGATGATACGAGTATTTTAGTAAGTGGTGGATTCCGTCAAATTAAAAGCTGAAAGAGCATTGCACACAATTAAAAATTGGCTAGATTTTAGTTTGCTCTCTCTAAATATTGAGAAAACCAATTTTATGACTTTTTCCCTTTCCTCGCGTACCTAATCTAAACTGCATTAAGATTCATGACTCATATTGTGACTTTGCACCTCAGTGTGCATGTAGCAAATATATAAATAAGAAATCGAGCTTGCAATATCTAGGAATAATTATAGATCAACTTCTTACTTGGAAAGATCATGTTGAGTATGTTACAACAAAGATTAGAAAACTTATTCACTAATTTTATGAATTAAGGGAAATATTAGACTTCAGAACTCTTAAAACAGTTTATTTTGCTTTAACAGAATCTGTAATTAATTATGGTTTCGTAGTTTGGGGAAATACAAGTTTAGCAACGTTATCCAAGTTACAGGTAGCTCAGAAATGGATCATAAAAATTATGCTTTTCAAACAGAAACGATATTCATCTGAACTTGTTTTTAGAGACAGTAAAATACTGAACCTAGAGCAGCTCTATTTATAAAATCACTTATAAGATTTATGATGAAATATGATTTCTACAAAGAATACTTACAGCATGGCCAAAATACAAGAAGTGCTGTTCATGCAAAAGTAAAATTGCAAAACCCTAGACACACAGCTTGCCAGAGTCACGTTTACTGTATAGGTCCAAAAGTTTATAATGATGTGCCAAATAGTATTAAGAGATTGAGATATTCTACTGTTAAAAAGGAATTAACAAGATGGATTATTGATAGTCAATACGCCATTAATTATGTAATATAAAAACCTGTAGCATTAAAGGTATTAAGTTCCTAAAATTTAAGATAAAACATAATAGCTTTGAATTTGTTTGATCTATTTTTATATTTCTTTTTCTCTTTGTAAACTAGAATTAAGAACCTCAATGAAAAAGTTACACTTAACAATGTGAATGGGGTGCACACACAGTATTTTGAATACAATTGTGCATCTAAAACTATTAGCAATAGTGGGTAATTTTAAGAATAGATAGCTGGATTTAAATATTATACAATAATTGTAAAGTCTATATATTTAATATGATGTAAAAAACTGTATACATGTTGAATATGCTGCTAATAAATTTACTTTCAAATAATAAATTTAGAAAATTGTTTTTTGCTTCAAAGAAAGTGGTAATAAATTTGTGTCACCATAACGTCAATACCATAGACACAGTAAAAATTTTGGGTGTCAGCATTGATACACACAAAACTTGGGAGGAACATATAAACGGTATTCTCAGGGAACTATCCAAGACCATTTATTTAATTAGGAATTCGAAAAGCTGTGTTTCTGGAGATACGTTGCTAACCACATATTATGGATACTTAAGAATGGCATTTGCAATCTTGAACGCTGATCATATGCCAAAAGTGTTTGCACTACAAAGGCGCTGTCACTGGCTTATTTAAGTATAGAACAGGAGCGTATCTTATCAAGAAATATTTTTATGACATCGAGGAATTTGTAATAACTTTTCGTATCTCTTCTTATGGTGTTGTAGTGTGCTTGATTACTTTTACTCTGTTAATTTATTCGGATGTGCTCGTTCTATAGTTTTGTGTTTATTTTAAATTTAGTTTAGTTTATTCAGTTTTTCTGTTAATGTTGTTCTTCACAGTTTTCTGTTAATGCTGTCCTTTCCAATAAATTCTATTGTTTTTTGAATTTAAACTTTTGTATTTGAACTTATACTTTGACCTGTGTAAGCACGCAAGTTTATTAAGCACCCATAAAAAATGATAATGATCTTTTCGTTGTTTTCTCAAGTGTTATTGTGCTATGCTCTGTTTGTAAATATTCTATGAATTCTTATTCACACAGATCCACTCATTGTGCAAATTGAATATACTGTCCTTTTCGGCAAGGTTGAGTAGAATAGATTTTTCTAGGCTCCACTTTTTAAGCAGTATTATATGTTTGTAACGTATTGCTTAATAGAGATTGCTATTATTATTATAAAATATGACATTTACGCTATTAAATACTATAGACGACTGCAGGTAAACCAAGGGAATCGTAGCTGGCTCTGACAAACTGGTCACTGTAGACTGAACAGCGGCTTGTCCCTTCTAAGGGAGAAAGGAGATTCTAACTCAGCAGAGTGGTCAAAGATACCGGCCTGCGCTAGGAGATCATGAAGAATCGATAAATTAGTGTAGTGTTAGTAATTGGAAATGTACGGTTTTTCTACAAAAGAAATCTACCTTCTCTTATAACTTATACAATAACAGAATTAATACCAAACAAACTTTTGGTAATTCCTCCAGGAAAATATTCACAAAAGACACCACTGACATGTCTTTTATTGCGTGTCACACGTATTCAAAATATTGTCTGAATGTGTTACAGTGATAATGATATAAGAGGGATGTCTTTTAAGTTTTGCATATAGAAAGATAGTAGGCCGCGCGGATCGAACGTCAGTACTGAATCTTAACCTCACTCTTTAGTAAACTTGAATTCCAAGTTTCACAACAATACTACAGTGAATTTTTAAGTGTCACCAAGTTATTAGAAAAATGGAACTCAACCGAGAACATTTTCGCGCCATAATTTATTACAACTTTCAGAGACAATTATCGCAACACGAATGCCTTGTTGACTTAGTGTCTGTGACATATTGCGAGATTGAGGCGTCCTTGAAGATCTCAAATACCTCAATTATTATTAATATATAAATATTAGGAGTAAAAAAATTAGTTTCTCGTTGGATACCCCACCTGTTGACTGAAGAGCAGAAAGCAGCCAGGGACAATTGGTGTCAAAAAACGCTTGACCGTTTCAATTCCGGAAACTCAAAAAATGTGTACAGCATTGTTAGTGGTGATGAATCGTAGATTTACTGTTGTGAACCAGAAAATAAACGACAGTCGGCTGTTTAGGTGTTCCAAGGTGAAGAAAATCCAACAAAAGTCATCCGTTCTCGAAGTGTTTCGAAAAAGATGGTCGCGACATTTGTGTCAAAAGCGGGTCATATTGCAACAATTCCTCTTAATGAGCAAATAACTGTTACTGCGGATAGGTAAACCACCATTTGTTTGCCAAAAGTCATCACCGAGCTTCGAAAAATCAACCCCGAAAGAAGAATCATCCTCCACTAAGACAATGCAAGCTTGCACACAACCCAAAGAACAAGGCAGTATTTAACGGAAGAAAACGTAGAATTATTGGACCATCCTCCATATTGTCCCGATCTAAGTCCTAACGATTTCTTTACTTTCCCGATAATTAAAAACAGACTGAGTGGTCGACGGTTCCAGTCACCAGAAGAAGCAGTTGACGCAAACAATAAAGTCATTTAAAACTACATACCGTTTTGTTTTATTTTCATATGCAAAACTTAAAAGACATCCCTCGTAAATCTTAACAAACGCAACGTACTCTAGTAGCAGTCTGTGTTAATGGTTTTGCTCAGTTATTTTTCTTTAATATACTAGAAATAGCGATGAAATTTCCTAGCATTTGCTTGCATCTTCCATAACAAACAACCCTTGTTTTGCTGTAATGAGGATAAGGAAGCGTACTTTCCACATTCTGCAATCCATAAACCTGTTTTGTGCGCAGAAATCCTGCTGTAACATGAATCTCATCCGAAAGCTTGATAGTATACTCCAAAGCAGTCCTGGAGTAATGTATTGTATATGAATGGAACTTCTCTAGATTTATAATGATTCGCAAAGCTAAACAATTATTTTCTTCCCAGTTCCTCTATAGATTGTGGTCCAAATAATGAGTATCCTTGAAGGAAATATATAAGCTGACTGATGAACTACCAGTTTTTACTTCTACGTTTTTTCTTATGGTTTGCTATTGAATCGCAATTGCGCATATGCTACCAGTTTTTACTTCTACGTTTTTTCTTATGGTTTGCTATTGAATCGCAATTGCGCATATGCTTTGCTTGGCGACCTTAATCCCAAACTGCTGTGACGTATATTATTTTCTAATAAGACAAATAACATGTAGCGCTTGACGTGTGCAGATGCAGCATCAGCAGTCGAAAACTGTATAATTGTCAACAGGTGTATTGCTATCACACTTCTGGGTGGGTTTTCGCCTTCTCGACGTCGTTTGCCTTTTTTTGGGACGATGAGCGAGGCGTACATCAGAAACATCTACGCTCACTTGCCGCCTTGGGGAGGACGATACTACGAAAATCAACAATTTTTCGAAGAGAAAGCGTGATAAATTAGTCACACAGTTCTTCCACAAAAGTGGAATGTACACATACAATTTCAGAGCTGTGCTAATATTTGTTAACAGGTTACGATTGAAGAAAAAATGCACAACATAATGCGCAAAAATGCTTCTTTTGACTAAAAAGATCGATAACATTGCTTTTCAGAAATCTCTCAATTATAAGCAGGAAAACCAAAAGATAAGTTATATATGCATTAACCACAGGTATGTAATTTATTCCATTTTTGATCTAAGACGAGTAGAAAATGGAATAGCCTTTTATTCACAACCACTGCATCATACATACATCAATATAGTAGGATGGAGAAACTGCCATGTATTTCAGATTGATCATAGGTTTATTCATCTATAAAACGTATTTCCTAAAAGTTTTGCTACAAAATTCATTGGATGTAATTTTAACGAGCACAAAATAATAACAAGTTGCCTTTGGAAACAAAGGTTTGTTCATTTATTTTACTGTCAGTTGACATTTATTTGTGTAATCATATTAGCAAATTTCCACGAAATAATTGTAAAGTCTGGTTTTATTGGTGCATGCTGTTTGAATGGGTATCTAAAACATGGACGCTTAAAATGGGTACAACAATTTTTGTGGGAAAACTGTATTTGCCAACAAAGAATTAGAAAACGTGTGTTTTGGAATGCAATCGAAAGTGTTAACATTAACAGGAACGAAAACACTTTTAATATAATATTTATGAGAACTACAGAATGAGATTACACGTAGAAAGATCCGACTAATAACAAAAATGCTAAGCCGGAAAAACGAGGCAAAATGCAGATTTTCACACTTATTGGTAATGCGACGATGATTTCACGCAACTACTTGAAATTCTTCAAATCCGTAGGATTCATACTTCTCAATAACAACAACAAAATTGGATTATATTGGACAATCAAAAATTTCTAATTGTTTATCCCAAAACACCTGTCTTCCGGACATCACTACTAGTTTATTGAGCAATATATAGAGAGCATTTAATAGCAAAATGCACGTGTTTAGCTGGTCGGTATGATTCGCAAACCATTCCGAAAGTTTAATTTTATTTTCATGCTAAAAACAAAGGCTACGTTTTCTTCTTCTAAACAAATTCAAACATTTCGTATTTGTGAGTAATTGAACAAATGCGCTACGATATTCGGAAAACATACGTTACCACACATTTTAAAACAAAGCACATGTATCTATCGTCTTTTGTTGCGAATTACTCCCAAATAAAAAATTTAATTTGTTTAGAGGAAGAAAACGTAGCCTTTGTTTTTAGCATGAAAATAACATTAAACTTTCGGAATGGTTTGCGAATCATACGGGCAAGGTACACTACTGTATTCTGCTATAAAATGCCCTTTGAATTAACTCTGCATATTGCTTATAGGTGTTGGCCGGAAAACAGGTGTTTTGGCACAAACAATTAAAAATTCTCAAAAACTACTCCACTAATCTACGCCAATTTTGTTGAGGTTATTAAGAAGTATGAATCATACGAATTTAAAGAATTTCAAATATTTCCAAGAAACCATCGTCGCATTACCAACAAGTGTTAAAACCTTCAGTCTGCCTCGATTTTCGGCCATAACTTTTTTGCTATTAGTCGGATCTTTTTACGTGTGGTCTCATTTTGTAGGTCTCATAAATACCTAAAAATCTCACATGAAGAATTTTTTCGTTTCTGCTAATACTATCGATTGAACCCTGAAAACACGTTTTCTCATTCTTTGGTGTTGAATAACAAGTTTTCCCACAAAAATTGGTCAACCCATTTTATGCGTCCATATTTTGAATACTCCCTTGAACAACTTGCAGTAATAAAACCAGACTTTACAGTTATTTCGCAAACTAGGAGTTTTTCCGTATAATATGATTAGACTGACTCTATTTATGATGTAGTATAAATTAGAAATAAGAAAAAGTATCTACAAGTTTGTTATTTATGTTAAGTTATGTTAAGTTATTTATGATGTATTATAAATTAGAAATAAGAAAAAGTATCTACAAGTTTGTTGGGAGTGTACGTAAAGGTGAAATCTGTCGAATATTCCAGAGTGAAAACATTAAATAATAATAATATTATTATTATTATATTAGCGTCTATTTGCAGAGCAAAAAAATACAAAGAGAAAAAATTAAAAACAACATGAATTGTCTGCAAAAGGGACTAGTCTGATCAGAGTACTAGCCCAACAAACAAAATTACAACAGAGGAGTTCATAAACCAAATTATATAAGTTAATATTAATAATTAATAAACAGTAATTACAAACGTCAAGAAAATATATCTATATAAAAATATTATAAAAAAATATAATTTAACGAAAAATGTCAAATCATTTTAGGCAGATTTAATAAAAAAAAAACATTTAAAATATAAAAAGTAAAGGAACAATATAAAGTAAACACTACAATTCATCTAATAGAAATTTTCTGTAACTTATTTTAAAAGCTGACACAGACACAGACTTAAGGTTTGAGGGGACGTGATTACACAAGTGGTAGATAAAATGAGAAACACATCTGTTAAACATAGATGTACGATGACCGATGACGTGGTTGGGAAATCAGCTTCCGATGCCGAATATTGATATTGTGAACATCACTTCGAAATGTAATCTTACTATACTTTGAAGTTGAGTCATTTATTTTAACAGTGAGTAGATCTGATCAAATGAAATGTTTTTTTTCCTTTAACATTTTTGTGGTAAAATTAAAGTAACAAAGTTATAGCCCTTTAGAAGTTTGAGTACCGCCCTGTCTCAATAATAATATTATGTGCTCGTGTTTGGCGACAACGGATATACTCCGCCTTATCGGTTCATCGCATCAGAAACAAAAAAGCGAAAGAATTTGAAACGCTGATCACGATGTTTTTATTCAGTCTGTGTCAGTCGGTAACGCGTGAGTGAATAGTGGTGTTTGCTGCGTGGCTCAAACGAAATAAAAAATGGCACATATTTATGCGGATCGGTTTCCCAATCGAGTGCAACCAACCCCTCGTGCCTTTGTTAATGTAGTACAACGGGCTCGTAAATCAGGTGACTTAAGACCTCACAGGGGATTGCATGCCGGTGCTCCAAGACCTCACGATCAAATACAGGTCCGCACTGAAATACTTGTCGGGAGGATACTTTATAAAACAAGGTAAAAATTTTTTTTTAATTTTTTTTTATTTTTACACAGATATTTTGGTTTATCTTCCTTCTACAATCATTATCTGAAAATTAATGACTCAACTTCAAAGATTCACGCAGATCCATTTATAATAATAATAATACAATACCATGTCTGAATCTCAAGGAGACTGGCTTGTCAATGCAGATCTTTTAAGATTACGATATCGTTAGAATTGACAAGGAATGGTCTTGAAGATCGGAAGAAGCTTAAGTTCCCCAAAAACTTTCAAGCGCAATTCCTTCATATACCAAGATGCTGTCGTCAACTTAGGAAGGTACTCTTTGCCGATGGAAAAATCATTATTGTAGATGACGAAAAGTATGTCACACTGGATAATCCTGAAATAAAGGAAAACGATGGAGTTTATACGGACAACGTAGAGAATTTTAGATACAAACAGCAAAATTTGCAAATAAAATCCTTGTCTGGTGCGCAATTTCTAACAGGGGTGTATCCCAAACTGCTTGAGTTTGTCCACGAACATCATGCTAATGACCATATTATGTTTTGGCCAGACCTTGCAGCATGCCATTACTCAAGAAACTGGCTTTGGCAGCACAACATACCTTTTCTTCCCAAAAACGATAATTTTGCAAACTTGCCGCTGGCTCGCTCAATAGAGGAGTTTGGGCTTTACTATCTAGGAAGGTTTATCATGGAGGCTGGGAAGCCCAAGATAAAGAACCATTAGAACGGTGAGTTTATGAAATACTAAGAGAAATTGATCTGAATTCCGTCCTGGATGTCGTGAGTGACATTCAAAGAAAATTGCGTCTGTTAGAGCAGAACGGACCACTCCACATAGTTCGATAGTATAGTTTAGTTAAGCATTGAGTTGTAATTTATGATAACTAGTTATTGCTTAGAAAATATTCTTCATCGAAAAAAAAATCCGATAAATATTTTGTGCCAAAACTTTTAGGACATACGTTAGAACTACCCTGATAAGTTATATTAAAATATGTACGAGCTCCAGCACCGGATCAACTCTACATAAAGTGTACTATTATTGAGGTCATTTACAGTACCCATAGTAGAGAAGCCATCAAGATCATCAAGTCTAACCAGGCGAAATTTACTGGAGTTCCGCAAGTGCTGCAGATAATTTGCCATTCAAACGTTGTTAATGTTGGAGCTATAGGATTACTTCGTCCAACTACCATGCAAAGCCAACTGCAGTTAAGCAACAACTTGATCCTATCTCCATTGATATTCCAGAGAGATTAGATGGTATTTACAGTGATGGTTGAGGATGCATCAAGTTGATTTTGAATAGAAACAATGCCGGTACGAATGGAGTTTTTGAAGTTTACCCAGATTGATCCTACTTAAAAGCGGTCTCTTTTAGTATTACATGGGTCTGTTTATCGTTATTAAAACTATTAATATAGCTGAAACTTTTTTTAGCAAAAAGATATCAAGAAATACTTTTCAAACGGAATCAATAACACTTTGTGAAAGCAACGGTTATTTTTAGAAAACCAGTAGCATCCAATTCTGCATGATAGACAAGTTCATGGTTGAATGAAGTTTATATGTTGATAACATATGATGAATTGAAATCTTCACCTCCAAAACAATGTTTTCGAGGCATTTCTTAGAATATTCTGATACTGAAAAGTACCGATTATGGAGGAACTTTCAGAAAAGCGTATAACTAGCAGGGAATTCAAATTGTGTCGATTAAAGACAAAACATTCTGTTGGTGCTTATGACTAAAGACCGGATTTATATGTATTTACATGTTCTTACATATAACATAATTTTTTAGGGTTTTTTCGGATAAAAACATAAAACATAGTATTTTAGGTTTTGCCTACATATAATCCATATACAAAGACATACGCTTTAAAAAACATAAAATGGCATTTTGTTTTTTTTATTCAGACTAAACACATTTATTATTACTCATTGTTATGTAAATCTGACAACGGTGCACAAATTATAAAGACTACAAAGCATATCGGTGATTCCCCCAAAGCATATCGGTGATTTTCAGATTAATAACTTGGCGCCGTGCCGTGCACCTGTCGCAATCTTTATTTAGAAAACTTAAGTAGTAAATAAACACGTATTATGTCGTTTAATAATTCAAAAGATCGCCATGCCGAAAGTATCAAGCTCTAAAGCTGATTTACTTAAGAAATGGATAAATAATGCTAAACATTTATCCACTGATGGAACAGTTGTATACTGTAACGCCTGTTCAAAGCAAGTGAGTATATGTATTAATATAATAATTAATTAATCTTTTATTATCTACGGAGCTATTATTGTAAATATTCATTATTTCAAAGTTTCTTTAAATTTTTTTTATAAGAGCTCGTTTGATTTTAGGTATCCTCAAACCAGAAATTTCAAATCGATCAACACCTAGCTACAGCTATTCACAAGGAAATGGAGAGTCGATTTAACGGGAAAGTACAACAAACGTTTGGTTCAACTGCATTATGTGGCAGCTCCCAACAAAACGAGGATTCTAAAAATGAATTTTATTTTGATTTAAGCAACTCCATGGCACAATCAAACATACCATGGAATAAATTAGAACAACCGGCGTTCCGTAAAGTTTTAGAAAAATATTGTAACCGCCATATCCCAAATGAATCCATATTGCGCAAAAGCTATTTGAAGAAATATACTTGTTGGTATTTTAAACGAGTCTACCCTTCCAGTGTCTTATTTAATTAGTTCTGTAGCCTTAGAAAAAACCAATCACTCGACCGTTGCACGTTTTAGTAATGATAGTTTAAACTTACTATATGCACCAAAGCCAGTTAAATCAGAAAATATACCACCTGAGCCTGTTATTACAAGATGGGGTACATGGCTCAATGCTGCCTTGTTTTATGGAGATAATTTCGTAACAATCAAAGAAATTTTTCTTTTGCTTGACGCTGATTCTATAGCACTTAGATCTTATAAGGAATCGATACTAGAGTCAAATATTTTAGAAGACAGCCTTTATTAAAGCTCTTTTTTTCATGTTAGCAAAAGCAATAATGGAGCTGAAAATTACCCAGTTGTCATTAAACGACTCTTTCAGAATCATAGAAAAGGTGATTGAAGAACAAAGTCTTATTTCTGGAGAAATTGGAAACAAAATTAGGGTTAAATGGGAAAGTCTTTTATCTCGCAATCCTGGATACCAACAAGTAAAAAATGTTTGTTACATTTTGAGAGGACAGAACCAAAGTGATCCGGATATTAAAATGAAGCCTTCAGACATAGCTTCCTTGAAATTTGCGCCGTTCACATCATGTGATGTGGAGCGTTCATTTTCGGCTTTTAAAAATTTATTAACAGACAAACGCCATAATTTAGGCATGGATAGTATTAACCAGTTATTAGTTTTATACTGCAACAATATCGTTTAACTTTTTGTGTGTGTTAGTTTGGATTAGTAATGTACTGTTCATTACAGAAAAACCTATTTTGTTTTGTTGACTTTTAGTCGAATATTAATTGATATGATATATTTTTTATTATATTAAACATATATTAATATATAAGCGTTTATTTTTTTGTGTTCGCAGATTTATGTTTCAGTTTTTCCTCATATAAAATCCATATTTCGTCTATTTTTTACAGCATAAAAAAACACATTTTGCAGTTTTATACCACATGACCAATGACTTACAGAATTTTGATCATCATATCATACATATGTTCATAGAGAAAATAAAAAACTAATAGATATTAGTACCAATAAAGTAATAATTAGTCACAAAGAAAAAAGCAGAAATGCCTGGATTACCAAAGGATTAATAACATCGGCAATAGAAAAAGAAAGACTATATAATGTAATGAAACTAACGCCAACTACAGAGAATACCGACTGCTACAACCAATATAAAAATAAATTTATAGAGCTTGTAAGGCAAACCAAACGAAAACATTACCTAAATAAATTGAATAATAACTTAAATGATCCTAAGCGGCTTTGGACAACTATTGATGAGATTACTGGGAAAACAAAAGTTAAAGAGTGTGTCACTGAGTTAAATTCAACATCGGGAACAGTATTAAAAAATACTCAACAGATATGCGATGAATTTGTACAATTCTTTACTGACGTAGGCGAAAATTTAGCAAGTAATATACACGCAAATGTACAAAATACTCAGCCTCCAAAAAGAACTTTGAACTCATTTATTTTGGTTAATGTCGAGCAATGTGAAGTATACACCACTGTTATGTCCTTAAAAAATCGGAAAAGTCCTGGGTTCGATGGTATTAAAAGCGAGCATTTGAAAATTATAGCCGAGGACATAACAGAACCACTCACTTACCTAATCAACAAATGCTTTGAATCTGGCATATATCCCTCAATTTTAAAAAAAGGTAATATAATACCGATACATAAATCAGGAACAAAAACAGATGTTAACAACTATAGACCAATATCAATAATATCCAGTGTAGCAAAGGTTTTTGAAAAAGTTTTATCTACTAGAATGATTCGATACCTCACAAAATTCAAAATTTTAAGTGAAAATCAATATGGATTTACAGAAGGGAAGGCTACGTCGGTCTTAGGTCCGCTGTTATTCAATATATATTTAAATGATATTTTCCAAATTGATTGTGTTGGCAAAATAACTAGTTTTGCAGATGATACTGCAATATTATATGAAGGCACTGACTGGTCTGATCTGAAAAATGTAATTGAAAATGATTTTATCAAAATTATTCAGTGGTTTAACAGTAGAAAATTAAGCATTAACTACTCTAAAACACATTTTTTACCATTTGGATCTTATGCTAGACATCTGCCAAATTACACAAATTTCTCCTTCAATATTAATGATCAAAAAATGCAAATTAATAGAGTGCCCAACATACAATACCTTGGAGTGGTCTTGGATCCTCACTTACGATAGGACATCCATGTCAATTATATTTTAAAGAAAGTTAGATTTGTATCCTACAAAATTAAATACCTTGGGAATATATTGACAGAAAAATATCTTCGAACATTATACCATGCACTGATTGAGCCTCATCTCACATATGGTATATTAGCATGGGGAGCTGCATGTTCCTCACATATCTATAATTTAGATGTTTTTCAAAAAAGTATTCTAAAAATGATATTTAAAAAACCGAAACTTTATCCCACTGAAAAATTATACGCAGATGTTCGAATGTATGATATAAGACAGCTTTATTTCGTACACAGTATCACTCACTACCATAAATTTGTAAACACCGACCAAAAAATTAAACATAATCATTATACCAAGTACAAAATTCGTGGCACAGTAGTTCCTAAACCGCATAAATCTATAATGCAGCGATCATATCTCTATTTAGCGCCTAAATTTTATGAAATTATACCTGAAGACTTAAAAGATTTACGTTTCGGAAATTGTTTCAAAAGAAATTTAAAAAAGTGGCTACATTCTGTATCTAGGACTGAAATTCATAAACTCATAAATACGAACATCAACTAAATACATAATCTACTGTAGCTAATTTTTGTCTTTTTTGTCATTTGCATTCTACAGTTTCAACTTAAATTTATTGGTCCATGTACAGGCGATGCCTTCTATTGGGCCTGTTTTGATTTTATATTTATTTACTCATATTGTTTGTTATCTTTCTACATTGAGTGAATAAATATTATTATTATTATTATTATTATTATTATTATTATTATTATTATTATTATTATTATATCCTTGGAGCTCTAATAAACGGAATGAGTATTTTCAGTAATAGTTAAATCACTAGTTATTAATAATATTGTAAAGTCTGGTCTAATTGCTGCAAGTTGTCCAAGGGGGTATTTAAAATATGGACGCATAAAATGGGTACACCAGTTTTTGAGGGAAAACTTTTTATTCGTCAACAAAGAATGAGCAAACGTGTTTTTTGGGATTCAATCGAATGTGTTGGCAGGGACGAAAATACACTTTATATAAGATTTTTAGGTATTTATGAGAGCTACAAAATGAGGCCACAAGTAAAAGGGTCCGACTAATAGCAAAAAAGTTATGGCCGAAAACCCAGGCAACCTGCGGGTCTTGGCACTTGTTGGTAATGCGACGATGGTTTCTCGCAGATACTTGGAATTCTTCACGTTCGCACTTCTTAATAAGCACAACAAAATTGGAGTTGATTGGTAAAGTAGTTTTTGAGAATTTCTAATTGTTTATTCCAAAACACCCGTTGTCCGGCCATCACTACTAGTTTATTAAGCAACATACAGGTTTAGTTCAAGCGGCATTTTATAGCAAAATACACTAGTTTACCTTGCCGATATGAATCGCAAACCATTTCGGAAGATAAATGTTATTTTTATGCGAAGAAAAACAAAGGTTACGTCTTTTTGTTCTTTGAACGAAACCTGTATACTGCTCAATAAACTAGTAGTGATGGCCGGAAAGCAGGTGTTTTGGGTTAGACAATTAGAAATTCTCAAAAAGCTACTTGACCAATATAATCCAATTTTGTTGTTGTTATTTAGAAGTATGAATCCTACAGATTTTAAGAGTTTCAAGTAGTTGCGTGAAATTATCATCACATTACCATCAAGTGCCAAAACCTGCATTTTGCCTCGTTTTTCGGCCAGAACATTTTTGCTATTAGTCGGGTCTTTTTAAGTGTAGTCTCATTTTGTAGGACTCATAAATACCTAAAAATCTTGTTTGAAAAGTTTTTCCGTTACTGTCAACACTTTCGATTGAATCCCAGAAAACACGTTCTCTCATTCTTTGTTGTCAGATAAAAAGTTTTCCCACAAAAATTGGTGTACCCATTCTATGCGTCCTTTGACAGCTTGCAACAATAAAACCAGACTACAATAATTATTTCGGGGAAATTTGTTAATATGATTAGATTATAACTAAATGATACCCGTATCCTCGTTTCTTTCTTTTGCTATAGCTTATGAACAACAAGAATTAATACTTTGTTCCGAGTGATAGGATAGGTATGAACCATCAATCAAAACAATGTAAACAAGCATTGTGGGCGGTGGTCCACCTACTCAGATAATGAAATAAATATATTTCGCACACATTTGATCACGTTCATTATTGAAAATACAATCGGTTACTCCAGGGAATGAAAAAACAGAACAATACAGTTATATCAGCATACTATCGAATGAAAAACCTGATATGCAGTATGTAACGCAACGTTGGGTAAGTTGACCTTGAACCTCGATGTACGTGTTTGTATGAATGCACTATGGTATATTGAACTGACCATATGGAAACTGATTAAGATACCTCCTTTTACGCTCTACAAAAGTTTGGAAATATGTTGCTAGTCAATAAAGTATCCTTCAGATGCGTTTTGGAATCTTGAGATACATTTTCTGGGAAAAACTTGCAAGCTTTGATTGAATGAGAAGGGCTCTTTGTAGCAATGGATCAAAGAAATATAGTCGATTTCTTTTAACCCTTTGACGCCGGATTTAATTTTTTTTCGAATTTGCGAATCTTTTTCTTTTAATATGGGTAAATGTGAACAATATGTTATAACTTTACATATTTTATTTATTTTTTTTAATCCTGAAATGCTTTAGAATATGGTTTCATTATGAAACCACTAGGTAGTAAAAGGAACTAATGATTTTTTTAAACAAAATTTTATTTCAAGTAATAAAAGAAGACAAATCCGATATTTTCCATTTATCGTCTGTGATACGGAAGGAAACAATTTTTATTTGCGTTGAGGCATAATCCAACGTTGCATCTGAAAAAAAAGTTTTTGCTAAAACTAAAAAGAAGATGAAGCATTACTTTCTTTACCTGGAACAAATCCATTTCGTCCGGTGTGGTGATGATGTAGAGCTGCAATAAGCACATCTTTTGAACTTCCATGGATTGGCATGTGTGCACAAGAATCATATCGAATTTCCTGAGGCACATTGGCTTTGAAGGTTATTTTGTTGCACTGATAATATCCGCCCTTTCTTTGGAATATTTTCGTCTGCTCCAATAAGTCCCAAGCATACTGCTAGCTTGAAATCCTTCAATATCATATATTTGCCGGACTTAGTCGTAGTATTTCGGTTCTTGAAAATTATGTATGCATTCACTAGGGATATGTCAAGTAAATACCAAAAAATGCGCAGCCACCACTTTTTAGATTTTCGATCTAATTCATAAATTGACTTCAACATGTCTAGTTTATCTACATAACCCATGTGCTTATTATACTCCAAAACTAAACGAGGACAAGCAATATCCTGCACATCTTCATTCATGTGTTCATCTGAACTCATCTTTTCTAAGTCGGCAAAATGATATTTCTTGTTCTGATCTGAAAAAAAAAAACACGGCATGCCTACTGGTTTCATAACGTAACCGAAGGTATTTTTGTATAAAAACATGAGCTAAATTTGGTCAAATTCAATCCCCAAATATTTTACAATCATGATCAACATCATATCATATAAATCATCTATTTACTTACCTCCCATTGTTTATCTAACAGCGAAAAATCCCCTATTTATTTTGATCAACCACCTGTTTGCTGCAACAA